GTTGTAAATTCTTTTACAAACACTAGTATGGAGGGGTCACACTCAAATTTAAACAAAAATCTTTTAATCACGTGGTTTAACACATTTTCACAGTCCCTGCTGTGGAAATGGACATTGTGAACCCACACCATTCGTGGGTCCAAGCTGGCTCATTCTTCCATTTTGTTCTTATCCAGGGTTGCCTCTTGACCTCTGTTGGAGGCATTAAAAACAAAAAACAAACAAAAAAACCACCACACCCAGCTGATTCAAGATAACATGCCCACTGAGAGTGAATCTGTTCCAGGATGTCCTAGGGTATTCTCAAAGGCCTCTAGAAAGGTGATGGCAAACTGTTCCCAGATTTTTCAAAAAATAAATAGCTTTAAGTCCTATTTTAGATTTACAAAACCGCAGGTCATTTCCTGCCCCATTACAACCCCCCCCCAACCTTCCACTTGTATAGTTTATTTACCAGAGCAACATCTTCTTCATTCATTTTGTCCGATGGTGACTCCAAGGAAGCTTGGTTGCCTTCCTCCATAGGCTCAGATGGTGGGCGGGCGCATCACACTCAGTGACTCTCAATAGCATGGGTCTTGCTGTCAGATTCCAGCGTACCCAGCCAACAGTTAGGCCAAAGGGATACCCGTGGCCACTCCCTCCTCCTCAAAACTGTTGCTAATGTAACACTTTGTGAGCTATTTAGCACCCTTAGAGCTAAAACAAATCTCCTAGTTTTCACAGGGGTGGTAAAAGGCTACCATGTTTCTTCTCAGCATTTCCATGATTTCTGAAAACACACCCTTGAAACAAGATAGCTCCTTGCTGCGTGGAATAGGCTGCTGGGGGTAATGCTGCTAACCAGCCACTTGTTAAACTCCAGAGGGTGGAGTATCTGGCCTAGCTACTTGTGCAATACCTATTCTGATTGGTACACATTTCCCTTCCAGAATGTCCTATGGGGCTGGAATCTGCTTGGATTGGTATAGAGCAGTGGGAGGAGTTCTTAGAGGGAGCACACCACTTCCAGACAGGTCATCCCACCCTGAAACTTGCTCTGATAGACCTCTCCAAAAGCAGGAGTGACCATAGAGGGCTGGGACAGACACCAATTTGTAGAGGGTAGCAAGGTGGGGGGGGGGGAAGGAGGGAGAAGAGTCTTGCAATATGTAAACTTATTATTGAGAGGTGTTTCTCTGTCATAGGAATGTCAAAGCAAGTTTCCTATAAACTTTGGCTTGAAAAATTGGTTTGGTGTGAAAATTACCAGATTTACTCTTTGGGAAAAAAGGAGAATGTTTTCACAGAGATTGCAGAATATTTGAAAATCAGATCAAAATCAGTGATATTTTGTATAAATTGATTTATAACAAATTTAAATTTAAAGTTTTAATTTAGAAAGTAATCCTTTTACAGTTAAATTTGAATTTATGGCAAGCTGGCGTTAAGCCCTAAACATAGTATAATCTATTCATCATTTAAATAAATACAAGAGATACTGAATCAATGAGACCGCTTCACAAACTTTAAGTAATGAGTTAAAAATGGGGTTTTTTATACACCGATCCAGGGGAAAAACAGCTAATTTAAAGTCAAGATTTATAAATATGGTACATTTTGTCATGTAGTGCACAAAATACATACATCATTTTTACTCTTTACAATGGAGTTAATGCTAATATTCTGTTTCAAAATGTCAGTACTTTCAGCTCTGATGTACAGAAACACTTTGTTTCATCGGTTGTATGTATCCAGTACATTTGTTAGTTAATAAACATTTAAAATGCTGTCTGTACAATTTAATTGAATTCCAGTTTCCATCCAAATGAAGCTTGATACAAATCACAAGTAAAAAAGTTAATTATCTAGTAAATTCAATAAAAATGCAGAAATCAAGAATCTGAACAAATGTGTGTTAAATGTATAGTTAATGTAACCTCCTGGTTAACAAAAGTGGTGTCAAATCTAGTGTAAAAACTGCATTTAGTTTTAAATTAAATCAATGAAAAACGCTTAGGAAAAGAACTACAAAATACAAATGGAAAACATGATTACAATTCATTTATATCAAGATTTTCTACTTGCTGATTTTAATTGGTGATTAAACCAATCCAGCCATCTACCCTGGTTGGAGGCGATTATATAAAACACCAACAAAATAAAACTCGCTTCTCTGTAGCTCAGGCCATATTGACCTCCCAGCTTGTAACTTCAAACAAAAAACCTCCTTGCTTTCAAATTCAAGTTACACCTCCTGGATAAGGGAATTGTTCTGAAATTTTGATTACACTAAGTTGCGATGATAAAGTACAGAAATGCATATAACTCATGTGTGTGGGCAGCTTAATTGTTCATTTCCTTACATGCAAAAGTTTAGGCAGGCCTATTTTTCAAATTAAGAGTTTTGTTTTTGAAGTTAGTTGCTCATCATGCTAATCAATAAAACTGGCTAAATTGTATGCTAAGCAAGAGTACTTTGAACATGGAAACAAAGCCAGAAGACTTAGGCTGGGTCTACACTACCCGCCTGAATCGGCGGGTAGAAATCGACCTCTCGGGGATCGATTTATCGCATCCCGTTGGGACGCGACAATTGATCCCCGAATCGACGCTCTTACTCCCACCTCTGCTGGTGGAGTAAGCGCCGTCGACAGGAAGCCGCAGAGGTCAATTTTGCCACCATCCCTACAGCGGGGTAAGTCGGCTGCAATATGTCGAATTCAGCTATGCTATTCGCGTAGCTGAATTTGCATATCTTAAATCGACCCCCCCACTGTAGTGTAGATGTAGCCTTAGACTACTTATCATCATGTATAGATGCCTGTTCCTGTGTTAATGTGGGTTTTGTTTTGGGTTTTTTGGGGGGGAAATTTCAAATTTTCATTTGAAATGCAAAGACAAAAAATGCTGAAGCATTATTGCATTCAACTGAAGTTTACATGGAAAAGGGCAGGTAGAATCAGAAAAGAATAAACTATTACTCTTATCTGAATAAGCGCAAAAGCATTCAAAAAGTTAACTCAGCACAAACAGAACATAAAATTTTCAGAAAGAATTACCAAACAATGACTTGAAAAATAAAGGACCACACCCTGACAGGTGTAATGATAATTTCTTTTAAAATCTGTATCCTTGTTTATTTTGGAAGCAATTACTGATGGTATACAAAGAAACAGCCTGCCCAATGCATGGAGAACTTCCACTATTTAATTGATCTTGAAGGAAGGAGTGGACCAAATAAATCACACCTTTCACAGGCCATCATCATTAAATGTTTGAAAGTATAAAAGTTGTACAAGATTTTAATATTAAAGGTGTCTAAAAATGTAGGCTAGCCTGTCTCCCTCAAACAGCAATATTTTATATTTTGATTAAAAAGCTTGTTTTATTTTTCCAATTTATTCTGCCTTAGGCAAAACAGGTTTCTTGGTAGAATTCATAGTATGAATGCTGCCAAATAACCCACCCCTTCTGCCAAGACTGAAAGACAAGTCAAGGTCTAGAATTCAGGATGTTCTTTATTTATTTACTTTTAAATCATTTCAGATTTACTCTTGTAAGCCTTGGAGGTATGAACCAAAGTAGGCTTGGCCTTGGCAGAATAGCAACACACCAGGTATTAGCTAACCAAGTAAGCACATTTCTGACCAGCGAGGATGGTGCAGACCTCTCCAGTAACTAGGTAAACAAACACTTGAGATGTTACAGACCCCTGATTATTCCCCTCTATTCAGCACTGGTGAGGCCACACCTGGAGTATTGTGTTCAATTTTGCCCCCCCCCCCCCACTACGGAAGGGATGTGGACAAAATGGAGAGAGTCCAGCGGAGGGCAATGAAAATGATTAGGGGGCTGAGGCACATGACTTACGAGGAGAGGCTGAGGGAACTGGGCTTATTTAGTCTGCAGAAGAGTGAGGGGGGGATCTGATAGCAGCGTTCAACTACCTGAAGGGACGTTCCAAAGAGGATGGAGTTAGGCTGTTCTCGGTGGTGGCAGATGACAGAACAAGGAGCAACGGTCTCAAGTTGCAGGGGGGGAGGTCTAGGCTGGATATTAGGAGGGCAGTGAAGCACTGGAATGGGTTACCTACGGAGGTGGTGGAATCTCCATCCTTTGAGGTTTTTAAGGCCCAGCTTGACAAAGCCCTGGCTGGGATGATTTAGGTTGGTCCTGCTTTGAGCAGGGGGTTGAACTAGATGACCTCCTGAGGCCTCTTCCAACCCTAGTCTTCTAGTTTTGTATATACAAATCATAGATTTTGATCCCAATAGGGAACATCATGAGTAAGTGACAAAATGGTCAGATCATTGGTTAGCTAGAGATACACCATAAATCACATTTTTCTCTTACAGGGCATTTTTAATGCATGTGAGGCAAGAATAAGGAAAACAATTAAACAAGTCTTTCCAGGGGACTGGGAGAACATACTGCTTGTCTCCATGAACAACAACAACAGTGTTCCTTGGAGGTAAGTGGAAGATTGTGTTTATATTCTATATTATTTTATGTTTATATTCTTTACCACAGAGTTTTATAAACCAAAATAGATTCAAAATTCAAGAGGTAATGACACAGAGTTGGATCCATTGCATCTTTGATAACAGTTTCAAACTGAAAGATTTCGGTTCTGATTTAAAAACTGGATTCAGGTGTAATTTCAAAATGGCGACACTCCCTAAATTATTAGTTTTATGTAACTGTGTAAGTTGACTGAAATTAAACAAAGCAGATATGTTTAAAATTTATTACTATAAATAAGACAGTCGCTAACTACAGTGAGAAAGCAAATACTCATCGTGGTTGATTAGAAAAGAATTCGGAAAGGGAACTTATTTGTTTCAGATTGATAATAGAACCATTTGAGGAAGGATAAACCAAGAAAGATGATCTGGCTAAAAATAAATGAATGCAACTTAAGGCAGTATAAATTCCAGATTGCAATAAGTATACAGACTCTTAACTCACTGTATTCCTACCATCTCTTTTGTTAATTAAGAAAACTTGTACTGTCAACATTGCTGTTTCTAGTTTTATTAAATATAAACAGGAGCTAGAACAGTTGCTGTAAAGCTCATAGCATATACAGAATACATGCGTGTGCAAGTGTAGCATTCATGAGTTATATAAGTGACTTGAACCAAATGCAAACATAACATTTGTATTCTCTATTTATGCTGTTGGTAAGTGAGCTGCTTTACGGTAACAAGTGCGATCAAATAATTCAGCAAGATTTTAAATAAACAAATTAAATCTCAATATACAGACCAACATCAGTGAAATGTTAAGTATTATAACAAAAGGCATATCTGCTACTATTTGAATGCCTCCCTAACACAGTAAAAGTAGGGACGTTTTCAGCCTTTTCCACTGTGAAGCTAGCCTTTCACTATGTACAGTACAGCACTGCATGGTGATCCTGTTAAACTAATCTTTCAAGCACCTACAACAAACAAATAGCTGTGAACATGTAACTACATGACCTATTAATCTCAAATGAAACTAGTTTCAAAACCTAGTTTGGACCACTTAAATGCATACCACTGTAATCAAGAAAGTTACCTACCACCATGAGAGAATTTTAAAATTTTTGGTTAAAAACAAAGATAATCCCAAGTAATAAGTTATTTTCAGGTGTAATTCAGTCTAATCTACGACTTCTCAAAAGATTTAGATATGCTAACATGATTTCTATTATTCTGAGCCTTGTGCTAATTTATACAAGCTTTCTCTATTATTTTCTTGAAAAATATATTGGGATGGAATGAACAGAAACATACTAGAAGAACTAGCTACAAAATTCACTTCAAAGTGTTTATTATATATTTTGCCCAAAGAAAATGCAATACACTTAATAAAAGATTTGTTTCTGCATCAAATGCTGTACAAAATATAAAGCACTAATGGGAGGCCATCCTTGAAAATTCAATTTTTCCATCATCAGCCACCTGTCCTTCCATTCACAGGTCTGAAGGGGACTTTTTGGTTGTGGTTGACAAAGTTACATGGAAGTACAGCACCTGGCAATGGATTTCCATTTCAGCAGAAATTTAGCAAAAAGAAAAGAGTCTTGTCCAGTTATGCTTTTATAAACTGTCAGGAACAGCTAGGTAATAACAGTCAATTCTTACTCCCCCCGCATGAGATAGGCTACAGCCTATTTTAATGATCAAGTATAACTAGCTTCCAAAAGAAGTGTATTTATCCACAGTCTGGCACTTGATCATTCTATAGTTAGAGTGACAGACCCAGACCAGTGGGGTACAGGAGTCTGGTAGAGGGCAAATATACTGGTCACTGGATGAGTAATTTTCTGTTCCCTGAGTGACCAGAGCAGGGGCTGCACTAGAGTAATCAGGAAACTGCTAGAATCAATTAGGACAGGCTAGCTAATCAGGGCACCTGAGTTTAAAAAAGGACCTCACTTCAGTTGTGGTGTGCATGTGAGGAGTTGGGAGCAAGAGGCACTAGGAGCTGAGAGTGAGAAGACATATTGCTGGAAGACTGAGGAGTACAAGCATCAAACACCAGGAGAAGTGTCCTGTGGTGAGGATAAAGAAGGTATTGGGAGGAGGCCATGGGGAAGTAGCTGTTGTGCAGCTGTACCAAGAGGCACTCTAGACAGCTGCAGTCCACAGGGCCCTGGGCTGGAACCCGGAGTAGAGGGCAGGCCCGGGTTCCCCCCAAACCTCCCAACTCCTGATCAGACACAGGAGGAATGGACCTGGACTGTGGCTTCTACCAGAGGGGAAGGTCTCTGGGCTGTTTCCCGACCCACATGGTGAATCTGTAAGGCAAGCAAATTTGCCAATAAGCCCGGGACCCACCAAGGTAGAGGAGGAACTTTGTCACTAGAAGTGTACTTTGTGGGAAATGATGTATAATAGCTTGCAAGTCACACACATGCCTCAAACAACTTTTGTGGAAAGAACATTAGCACAGGAAGTTTCAAATGCAATCTTTAGACACGAGTCTGTAGGAAAACATTATGGCTTACCAAAAAAAAAAAAAAAAAAAAAAAAAATGAGTTGTAATCAGGCTCCCTCACAGCCAATAACCACGACATACATGAACACACCTAGTAGGAAGACTTAAGTTCTTCCTCTGTCCAGTGAGCTCAACAATTTTCATAACAGGAGATTATCAGTTCCATGAAAATATTAGGCATCTTAGAACATACCAAAGGCAGTCTTAAGGAGGAGGTTCTTCTCCTCGAATAGCTTTGTACTTGGCCATGTCCTCTGGGAAGACTTTAGTCAGTTCTTGAATCAATAGGCTTTTAAATTTCTAGAATGAAAAAAAGATTTTAGAATATTAAAAAAAATTGGCCATTTACTGGAGCCAGTCAAACAGAATAAGTTACTCACTGAAATATTTGCAATAGTCAACCACGTCTACCATTTCTTGATCCCCACGGAATGGTAGTCAAGTCAGAAAAACACGTCCTACAAGACCCGTATTCATAGTAACTGCCTGAAATCTATTTGCCGAGTCAAACTCAAGTATTTTGTATTTTCTATAAACTAGCAATCAAACTCATTCAAGAAACGTAAGGAAACTGGACTCTTGATAAGCTCTGGCGCAGTGGTGTCCAATTTGTGGCCCCCCAAGTCTATCATTTTAAAGAAGAAAACTGGCACTTACTAATTGAAAATGTGCTGAACCATGTCCTGAAGCTTTTAAACTAAGGGCTTGTCTATACTTGGATTTTACAGTGCTCAGGCTTGCTGTGCTCAAGGGGGTGATTTTTGACCCCCCCCCCCCCCCCGAGCCGGGGAGCATTCCCGCGGCAGCGCTTTGAAGTTTCCAGTGTAGGCATAGCGAAAGAGGCCTGAATCAGCCCCCTTTCCACCATTTCCCCTAGTGCTGCCTAGCTCTTCTCTTCAAGCCCCAAGAGCAACTCTGACATGAGCCAAGTTCCTCTGACCAACTGCTGTCCCTTCCCTGATGCAGCAGCTCAGCAACTCATCCACTAGTTGCTTGCTACACCATAGGGGAAGGAGAGAATAGTTCTGACTTCCCTGCCAGGCTGTGGGAACTGCAGGGAGAAAAGGATAGAAGTTTGATTGATACTGCTTGAGACCAGGGAAGCACCTAGCAAAGCATGGCTGTTTTTCTTCCCCCAATCACCAGGACAAGGGTAAGGAATCTTTAGTAAGGGAGGGAAAGATGCGGAGAACCAACCCATTATGGCTTCCTGAATCTTTACCCCAGCCCTGAAACAGTTAGAGCAGCCTAGGAGCTTCTCCAACTTGTGCTATGGTGTCCAATAACTGGATATAGCCAGCTTACAGCATGCTCCAGTCACACCCACTCCATCAGAAATACAACTTGTATAGTTAAACATAAAACTATTATGCTAGATCACAAGAGGTTCACCAAGTCTGATATTCTACCCAGAAGGCGCATCTTACACCCAGCACTTCAGAAGGAATAAAAAGAATGCACTTAGACAAGTATGTAAGGCTACAAGTCATGAGGATGAAGACAGACCACTGAAACCTGGAGATCAATATATGTCTCGTAGCATGCATGTTGCTGTCCTCTGTGCCTATTTAAATCTAGCTATTCTTCAGCTGACGATTTTTTCCTGAATCTTGATAAACTGTCTCAATATCTTTCAGTAATGAATTCCTAAGGCTGATTAAACACTATGTAATAGGATGCCCATGATCTTACTGAAAAGAAACTAATTCGAGAACTGTAAGTCAAACACTTTTTTTTTTTTAAAAACCAACATCAACTTGAACTTTCATTTAATATCATCTGCCACTGTGTGCCTCATCTCTCACTGAAGATAGTAAAATCTTACCCAACAACAAAATTAATAAAAAACAGTTTTTCGTTATACATCTATAACTTATCTACACACCAGTGTTCCAAATGCAATGAGGCCAAACAAGATTTGGAAAACATAACAATGCTTCTATTTAAGGGGAATAAGTGCAGACTGCTGTTACTGCTAAAACTTAATTGTCCTCCACTCCTGGAGTAAGAGGGTTGTGGGTTTTTGTGTTTGATTTAATGCCTTTAGCATCACACAAGGGGAAAATATTGTTATGGGTTGGGTTAAACCTTGTTGAAACTGATGTTGTTAAAGCTGTACTTCACTCAGGAAAAGTGGAAGAAATATTCAACTCCTTTACAAAACCAGAAAGGTGGAACAATAGCAGCCTACAGCCAAAACACGGAGACATGTAAGGCACATGTGGGTGGAGAGGCTTTGCTAAGTATTGCTTTAGCAGCGGTGTATGAGACAGGGAAGCAGCAAGGACACACAACAAAAATCAGCAAAAGAGCAGAAAGTCAAGGACAAAGGCTTGCCTGGGAGCATAATAAAATCCTAGAGAGATTTTTGGGCTGAGCGCTGGTTGAAAGAGGTTTGGAACTGTGAGCAAAGAAACTCTCTCCCGTTTGATTCCTGCTGTGTTTGGGGGAAACATGACTCTCTAAATTCTTTGTAAATAAAGAGGCCTGCATCGAAGATATCCGGCTCCATCATCAGTTTCTTCTCCTGACCAATACAACCCACAGAACCCTGAATTTTGGTGACCTGTTTGGGTCATACAAGGGTAACTATCAAACAAAAACAACGAGGAGTCTGGTGGCACCTTAAAGACTAACAGATTTATTTGGGCATAAGTTTTTGTGGGTAAAAACCTCACTTCTTCAGATGCACTATGCATCTGAAGAAGTGAGGTTTTTACCCACAAAAGCTTATGCC